TACAGAGGCAATAGCTTGAGACTTGTTACCTGGTCTGTTCTCTTGCACAGAAATTTTTGGCCAGCAGCACAATGCGCAACACAATGGTCTCATTGAAATGAATGCTCCATTTTTTTGATGTAGTGCTTGTCAGTCTGAATATGGCTTTGTAGAATCACCCATCTCCCTTCACTCTGAGCCATACCCTCTGTCTTATAATAGCTCATTCCCCACGAGTCAAAGCATTAACTTCTGCCATCTCCAGCTACAAATCTGTACGTTTTTTCATACACTGCTGCTGTATGTTCCTGTCTGTTTCCTCTGTGTATTCAACTTGTACATTGCTGCTTTATGTTCTGCCTGTATCCTCTGTATATTTTACTTTGCTCTGAGGTATACCATAGATTTTACGGCTGAAGCCATCTCTCATTTTATACAGCCACTGCTCTTAGTTCATACCATCACAGCATGGAAATCAACTATCAAAAGATTTGAGGCTTTTTCCAGACTGCTTGGGAAGTACTTTGTCGAGTGAATCCCATGTTGCCCCTTTTTTGTTTTGGAAACATGCACTATTGTTGTGTTGTGATGCAGTTATGAACAGGGACTGTTTCTTCAGAATTTCCCAGAGGCCAGAAATGTATTTTAGGTGTTTGAACCCCGGGGGGGGATGGGGGGATGGAGGAGTGTGAGAGCTGAAAACAGCATTAAGCTTTGAGAGTCAGCTGCAGCTACAGAGCCCCGAATTCACAAAATAAATAACATTTTCAGAGGTAGCACTCAGACACACTGATCCGTCAAATGCAGGATGAGAAACAATGAACACAAACGCTGCCATAAAAGGCCACTAAAATAAGTCCATACATGAGAAACACAGGTTCCCAGTTAGTGTTTTCACGTGTTTGCGGCGAGCTCAGACATCTGACGCTTGAGAGTAACCTTTCTATCTGTTTCACACTGTGTTTGGTTACTCTAACAGCATAGCTTGCAAGTGAAATAATGTTCCGCAGCTATCACTTTCATCTGGTGAAGTTTAGAAAAACAAGAATACAAATGCACCAATCAGCATGGGGTTTCAAGGTGATGTTAAAACATGCTATTCTAGTGGCTTCCTGGAAGAGAAGGAAAAATATATTCATAAATGTAAAAATGTCTGGTATGCCTTGGAAAGTGTTCACACTGCAGATAAAATGCACCATTTGTAGTTAATGGAGAAAAGCTGCATAAACAAAGGCATATTCACTTACTTACATACTTCAACACCAACCTGTGACGCAGCTATCCAAGCCCACCTGAATACCTCTCAGTCACAGAATTAAAGCGCAGATGATTGGTTGTGTATCCCACAGCCACCTCTTGTTCTTGCCCCGGTCCTGACCCCGGCTTTACTTCACACACTGCAGCCCACAGCTACTGCCCGGCTCTCAGCTTCCAAGCCTGTACGTTATTTTCATAACCCCCTTCCCAGGACACCAGATCACTGTCCAATTACCAGGTTCATTTCAACTATCTACTGGAAATCAACACCACAGGCTCCCTCCTGTGTAAGTCCAAAGGACATTCCAGACACAGCATGCAGCTGCTTTTAGTGCGACTTTGCTGGTGGATGTGTGTGTTTGTATGTGTGTGTGCTTGTCTGTTTTCCAATGCGTTTCTCGTTGCACTGCAATTAACAAGTGCAGAGCCATCTTGGGCTTACTGGATGACTTTGGCTCAGCAGCATGCAAATAATTCATTCTGACAGATATTGTTTAGTGATTGTGTTTCACATAGAACATTGCTAGTATCAACGCAATGGCACACTAAGTTGTTTTCCTCGGCTGCGTTCGAGCAGCGGGGGACAGGTGTAACAAGCTGCTCTCTAATATGAAACCCTTGAGGTCTCTCAAGGATGATCCGCGCTTATGTAAGCGCTATTTCAATATAGCCCAAAGTGTTGTGTTGGATCACCATGGTTAGTAAATGATACAAACACTGTGCACTTCCTTTTATGAGACAAATTAACCCATGTGACAGATTGTGGGTGTCGCCGTAGTTGTAGCTCCTTATCACTAATAAGAAAACTGTGTGTGTGTCTGATGAGTTGCTCTTAGTTTTAATATCTATCATTGTGATGCGTGATCTTCTAAAATGTATTAACGTCAGATAAAGGTTATTTAAAGTGGACCTATTTTGTTCATTTTCAAGTTCATACTTAAGTATTTTGGGTATGAAACCAGAAAATGCTTTAATGTTTAAAAAAAGTGTGTATCTCACATATCTACTGTCTATTTTTGTAAGCTGACACCATTTCCCTCAGTGAAAATGAAGCTTTTATTTACTTTTATTTCACAAATAAGAAACAATAAATTGTGAAGACAATAAAGCCTCCATAAAATAGCATTTTAGGTCTTGTGTGTGATTTATCCTGGCTTCGTATGGGTAGAGGAAATCTCCACTATATGCCAGGTTAACTTATATAATGCAAAATGCCATAGGCTTGTGCTAATAACATTAGCATCTTATATTTGTTTGTTTAAAACGTATTAAGTATAAGACAGTTGTTTTGTCAGTGAACCTTGTGAAAGTGTAACTACAGAGTGACACAGACACACCATTGTACAGGTATAAATACTAACAATGGTGTAGGCCACATGCGTAGGCTACAGCGTAGGGTCTGCATAAAGCTGACACACAAGTATAAACCCCACTTGAAGCGCTTTGTTTTAGCACCCATCTCTTTAAGCCCCCTACATGGAAAAGCCCAGTTTGCCATAATTGGTCAGCGTTTCTGCACCACCGCTATTGTAGCCGTGGTTTGTAACAAAGAACAGCTGCACTTTCTACCATGCAAAACCCCCAATAAAAACTTCTAAACCAAAATCTTTACAGCTGGACATGTTTAAACATGAACACGATCCAAAACTGGAGACAAATTAACTACTTTGGCCACCAAGATTACATGTTTCTCTGACGTCATGCAGCAGTGTACCTGCAGCCGGGAAATGACTGTGTTGTGTCACTTTCTCCTGTTAAAAATGACCAATAAAAACCTCTCTCAAAGGGGAGAAATTAACAACATTAGCGACCAGGATTGCATGTTTCCCTGACGTCAGCATGGAGCTACATATAGAAGAGAAGGTTATGTAATGAAAATATTTGCAGTCGCGTGCCTGTAGCATAAGACCACATAAAGACATCTGTGATGAGGTGACGCCATCTTGCAGCCAAAGTACAGTAAACACTTTACATTTAATGTGAACATACAACATTGTGACATATATTTGTGATAGAAAATAAAGAAAAGCATAATCTACCCCTTTTAAAGTTGTTTAAATCCTTGGCATTCTTGAACTATTGACCAATAACTACTCAGCATTTTGACTGAATATCTACTGTCCTTGGAAACATGCAGTACGGTATATGACAGGATTAAAAATCTTGTTCAATTTGTTTGGCAGCGGCAAGTAAATTTGTAGCAGTAGTGGCGATAGCTTTTGAAAAATGACTGTACAGCTGGTGTAATGTCATAAACCCACAGCTGGGACATTACGAGCATTTGTGCCTCAGCAGCCCTTAACAGAATAAGTTGACTCCGTTTTCAGCTTCTGAATATTTTAATAATCATCACATTAAATTTATGCTTTGCAGGTCTCTTATGCTTTCCTTTATTAATTACACAAATTCAAAAACGTCTCTTCCCACCTCAGTCTTGTGTAATGTTAACCACTGAGAACTAATTCCCACTGACTGCCACGCATCATGACTCTTGTTCCCGAAATGAATTATCACATAATCAATATTAACAACCGCGGTGTAACACGGCGCCTCCATCCAAACTGGGACGTTTGCTGTTCTTTCACCCATTAACCTGGTTACTAATACTGTAAGTGTGCTTATGTAAATGGTCCTGAATGCTGTTGTGGGCAAACACAAGAACAGGTGGAGCAGTGTTTGCCAGAGTATTGTGTGAAGAGCATGGATACAGGCCATCGGGGCTTATCGGAGGTGAATGAAATACTGTATGAGCTGTGCTAGCTGGAGGGCCCCAATGGTCAACCTGTTAATGTATCCTTTGCCCCTGACAAACACTACCTCTCCTCTCCTCTGTAGTCCTCACCTTTCCAAATGTGTTGTTCCCCCACCAGCTGTGACCTTTATTCAAAGGGGTCAGCAGAAAAGAGTGAGGCAGACTGTACTTATGTGTGTGTGTTTGTGCATGAGGAGGGGGTGTGTTTGGAAGAGGGAAGGCAGAGGGAGTTGACATAGCACGAGGAGGAATTGTCACCTCAGCTCATTGAAATAGGTTGCCGTATGTCCGAGTTGAGACCAGACACAGAGAGTGATTGTCAGCTACTGTTAGCACTTAAAATTCAATTGAATCAAGTCTTTTCGAATCTAGAGCAGAGCCTTTTTATTTCCTCCCCATCGGGATATTAAATTCAACCACAGTATGATCTCTCTTTTTTCCTTTTTCAAAAAAGATGGGGCAAGAAATAATCTGCTTATGACATCCCCTGAAGAATTTCCTGTCTTTTTGTAATATTTTAGTCCGTGTTAAAAGTGGATAACACTACACTTGGACCGGAGGTTTAAATACAAGTGCGACAGACGTGTCTTTTGTTGGAGGGCTGCCCTGGGCAGTGCACTGGTTCAGAGCTTATCGCTGTGGGACTCTGTGTGCAGGAAATCTTTCACAGTGAAGGATGGATTCATGGGATACAGACTCAGAGGACTCGTGCGACTGGGGGGACTCCTCTGAAGAAGGAGCATCATCGGAGGAAGATGAACTTGATGTCAAATATAATAAAGAGTAATGCCAATCTTGCAGCGATGTGTGTTGCCTGTTAAGAGTGATGTTTTTATTGTGTGCCAGCGCCATTTATGGAGTGAATGGAGTTGAATAAGACTGATATACAGGTGTTACTTTTTGACAGTTTCCATCATCACAGCTCTGATCAAGCATTTAAAAGGAATAATACTAATCAAATGTGCCAGTTCTGCTTTTATGCCTGACTGTGTCATATGATCTTTTTGTCCAGGGAGGACATCAGGACAGCCAACGTCATTGCAGCAGAAGCAGTCACCTGTCTAGTCATCGATAGAGAGTGAGTATCAATGTTATTTCCCTCAAAATACAATGTCTGTTCTGCACTGCTGATCCTTTTCTTTAGCATTAAAGTAGTAAAAGAGCTCAGTGAGAACGTCTGTCTGTCATGAGCAGCCATGCGAAACTAGCTCCCGAATTCTGCTTTGCTCCTGATGGTCAGGCAAGGACAATTTCTTGGAACAGACTCTCCAAGTTCAACTGAGTAACTGAGACATCAACATGAACCCTCGCTACACCTTATGAACGTGGCTCACATTTAGCTGTCATTACTTTCAATTTCCAAACTCAAGAAACATCAAAGCTCTCACGTAAAAAGTCGAATTTATCCTAAATCATCCATTAAATTTAATTTCAATAAATGTGAGGTGAGAAATAGATTGTGCATTTGCAGGATCATGCTCCCCTTAAACTTCCCCACAGAACCTTGTTTGATCGTCAGCTCCCAAAGTTCGGGAGTCATAAAAGGCAATCCCTTCATCACCTTACTGTTTGCTTCAGCTTCTATAGTCAGGACCAATCTAATTCTCATGTAAATGTTTTACAGACTACTTAACTTATGAGATTTGCTCCTTACGTGATGCTCAGAAGGCATATGTCTTAAATCCTAAATCACCTTCACTAACATATTAAGATTTATGCTAGATTTGCACAGAACGACTAACAAGGGCTATTTTTTCCACTGATGTTCGTCAGGAGATTATCAGGGAGCAAAACCACACTTTCAGCCTCATGCTGCGATGACATTAAAAATGTAGATCCACAGAAGTTTATATCAGGTCACTATTGAAGGAATCGGTTCAGTCTCTGAGCATCTTTGTCACTAACATGAAGTCATGTGGTGAGAATAGAGAGGCAAATGGATTGGGCATTGGGAGGAGATGGTATCAGCTTACCCAGGGCCTCCCTCTAGCCTCAGGGAACACGGCGGGCACAAATGGGCCTTCCTCAGGGCCGGCAGAGGGGATAGTGAGTGAGTCATCTGGCGCAGGTGATTACCACTGCCTTTCACTCTGCCTGTCATACAAGCAGCTAATACTGTCACAGCCCAAGAACTAGCTCATTCTGCATGACGCCCAGCCCGGCTAATTTTGGTGCAGATTCAAGGTTATCAGTATTTTAAACTGTCTGTGTGCACTTATTTGTTTTCTATATGTTTGTGCATGTGCGATGCAGCAAAACGACACGGTGCATCTTCAGAGGTTAGATGAGGATAATTACAGGAGCTGTGCGGGAGGGAAAAGAAAAGGAGGAGAGAGACAGTTGGAACGAGATGGGGGAATAAAAACAAACGGCAGGGAGTCACGGGCTCAGCGCAATAGACACCGTAAGCAGCCAAACATTTAAAGGAAAGCTCGGCTCAGAAACAGCCCCAGCTTACAGGCATTATGGTCTCAACAGGAGAAAACACCAGATGTATTACATCGTCTGGCTGACAGCTTGATGAGCCTTGCATGAAAACAGCCTCAGTTACTTGTTCTTCCAGGATGTTTGGAGTCTTTTGCATAGGCGGCCATACCTCAGAGGGAAATGAGCCGAAGCGTTGTTTTTCATGTAGCAGATCTCCCCATGAGGACAACTTTGGAGGGTTTTATTTCAGCAAGTTAGAGTATTGTGTAGTTTGTTATTCTGCAGTCAATCTGTCATTGTAATCTTTAACTGTCATTCCTCTGTGTTTATACTAATGATAATTAATAGGGGTGGGAATCACCAGAGGATCCACGAATTATCACAATACTTAAGTCAGTATATGGAATAAATTTGTGGAATGGGTTAGAAACAGAAATTTAAGTGTGTAATACACACAATGGATTAAAACATATTTAAACACAAGATAATTAACAAATATAAAACTGAAGTGTGAACACCAAAGTGTACATAAAATGTGTTTGGAATATTTGAGCAGACAGTAGACCATATACTGTACTGAGTTCTGTCAGTTTCTTGTTTCTTGCTCTGTATAATTCAAAGGGAGCTGATAAAAACAAATAATGTTAAAAGGGTAGGTGTAATAAGCTAAGGCTTCACCCTACACCTTGTCCGTCCTTTTTTCCCCATATTGCTAAAATAAACATTAACTTAATGTTTATGTATTGTATATCTACCAGTATATTTGTGTTTCATAAGTTGGAAAATGACCCCAAATAAATGGAACTAAATCATACAATATTATTGTGATTTCAAATACGCTGCGATATGCAGAGTATCGCGATAAAATATATTGTGATATATTGCAATTTATTATCTTTTTCCAACTATAAATTACATCTCCAAAGGAAAACTTTGTCAACATCTGTTTTATCTAACAAGTTTTCAGTCTGGTTATCTCACTTCAGCCATTTTTTGCAGCAGCAGCAAAATCTAGTGAACTGAAAAAGCAATTGATTTTATGATTCGATACGATACGATATGATACGATATTGCCACACAAGAATATCACAATACTATGCTGTATCAATTTTTCCCCCACACCTAATAATTAAGTTCTGATATATCAAGTAAAAACTGTATTGGTCTTAATATTTAAAGGGACACTTCACCCAAAAATAAAAAATATTTTCCTCTTACCTGTAGTGCCATTTATCAGTCTAGATTGTTTTGGTGTGAGTTGCTGAGTGTCGGAGATATCGACCGTAGAGATGTCTGCCTTCTCTAAAATATAATAGAAGTAGATGGCACTCAAAGCTCAAAGCGCCAAAAAAAAAATACATTTTAACAACCATAACAGCAATGTCTCTGTCCAGAAATCATAACCCGGTTACTAAAGATAATCTACAGACCTTGTTGTGAGCAGTTACATGTAGGAACTATTTTCTTTCTACCAAACTACACCCATTAACCGAATCACCACGCAGAAGGAAGTGTGCATCTACTCATGTGCGAGATAAATGGTGTCTTCCTCAACTGAGTAGTAACATTAGCTAGCTCAGGTGAGCAAGCAGTAGCGAAACTATTAGTTAGAATATTGCTGTTGCTCTTTTATGGTTGGCAGATGTAGTTTGGTAGAAAGAAAATAGTTCCTACATGAAACTGCTGACAGCAAGGTCTGTGGATTATTTTGACTGACCGGGTCATGATTTCTGGAAAGAGACATTGCTGTTGAGTTTTTCAAATATACTTTATTTGGCGCTTTGAGCTCCACAAGCTGAGTGCCATCTAGTTCCATTATATTGGAGAGAAGGCAGACATCTCTACGGCCGATATCTCCAACACTCATCAAGTCACACTAAAATAATCTAGACTGATAAACAGCACTGCAGGTAAGAAGAAAAATATGTGCATTTGATTTCTGGTTGAACTGTCCCTTTAAGGTCTGAAAAGAATACAGGTGTTTCATGTAGTTAATTAAATACCTTAACTGCCTTTACTAAATACTAAAAGAACAAAAATATTGCAGTGGGAATTTAGTGTCTAATGATAACTATCTTGACTTTTTTAATCACTCAGCGCAGTATGCTTTCTGTTCCATTATTCATTCATTAAAACATTTATGCACAGCCTCTACTTTTGTCTCAAAAAATTCACACTCATCCCCCGCCTGCTATCACACTATTTTACACCTCTTCAGGGGAGCTCTGTCTTCTCATTTGCTCTACAGTGATTTTTAGAAACTCGTCTCTAAAAGCAGACTGATGAATATTTAATAGTAACTGGCAGTGTTTTTTTATTTTTTTCTATGACAGTCTGGTCATATATTACAGCAGCTTTTTATACAGATTGCCTGCAGTGTACAAACTGCATTCGAAACATACTGTGAGTGGATAACATGTGGGCTGGTATAGGTTGCAGAGTCTTGAACAAAATAAATAGCCTCAGAAAAGTTTGATCGTATGATGTAATGTCTGTTGCAGTTCATTCAAGCACCTGATCGGAGGATTGGAGGACGTGTCCAGTAAAGGTCACGAGGATGCTGACGCCAAAGCCAAGTAAGACAAAAAAATTGATTAAAATATCTGTTTGTTTTGTGCTTGCTTTTTGTTTTGGTCATCTAAATTTCACAAATTAATTCACAGATTCAATAAATCTCTAAAGCTTTGCGCCATATCATGACCGCCCGCCAGCGGCAACTTTTTATAATGGAACATACTTTGGGCCAACTGTTAATGCATCGTGCCTTTAGGTCTGTTATATAACAGCACAATACCCCTGTGGCAGGCCAGAAAGCAGAGGCTATGACCTCTGCCTCTATTTCTGGAGGAATTAATATGTACTCTATTTATCGTCACTATGGAAACAAGAGAATGGCACTGTGGAAGGCACCTTGGCAATGAGGTGGGCATCTTGGGGTACAGGCCGCTACATATTGGCATAATCTGATACCACGCTCGCGCAGCGCTATGCTGTGAGTCAAGGTGAGGAGAAACAAGAACCCAGTAATGACAGATTACAGAGAACAGGAACAGCTTATCGCACCAGAAAGGGAGAGAGGGATGTTCATGGATGGATGGACTGAGCGATGAGAGGCAGGGAGGGAGCAAGACGGGTGACACAGCAGACTAGGCTTCTGTCCGAAGCTTTGGATTTCGAGCTGACTGCCGAGAGTGTCAGTCATCTTGTGCGAGTCGGTGGAATTCAGTCAGCAAGGAGCAGAACATAACACCAGTTACTGTGTTGGACGGAGGCACTGAGGAAGGAGAGAAGACAATCGGGGGGTGTAATGGGAGGCTTGCCTCTGGCATTCAGCCTTGGCCAGGTCCCTCTTATAGCTCACTACCACTGCTGATTGCCAGCTAATGTCTGTGATCGAAAGAGACCTGCAGCGTGTGCTCTCCAGCCCATTCCTCCCATCGCCGGGCCTGTGGGGAAGCTAATTTAAGATTGATTTTATGCAAATGAGCAACAAATCATCACCATCATTCATAACCTTATTATCAACCCTATTCTCCACTGAAGTTTATCTTAAAATAAAGCCGCTCTCTCCCTCTGCTCCTCAAAATCTGTCACATCAAAGTTGTTTTCATCCTGATTAAGGTAGCTCTCCCCGCCGTGTGCTGTGTGTGTGTGTGGTCTCTTACTGGCGCTCCCCGCCCAGCAGAGCACATTTGTTTCTTGGTGAGGAAAGCCTGCCTGAGTCAGGATCCCACGGTGATGGAAACTATCTCTAATTGGTCACAGTGGATAAGCATCATGCAGCAGTACCGTAACTATACTGCAAACTACAGCTGCTCTCTGTGAGGTTGACAGGTCTTTTCTTCAAACACTACCTCCTTGCTATGTACTATATATATGAGCGCGTTGCTGTTGCTCAAGCTTCTCTCGATGCAAAGTAGAGCCAATACACCTGTCTTCGTTGTTATTTCTGCCGGCATAAAATAAGGATTTAAGTATTTTGTTTAGCTGAATGCGTGGTGAGAATCTGTAGGCGTGACAGGAAAATATTATGTTATTCAAAGTGCCATATTTTATTTTAAACATCAGGTTTTTTGGGGGGTGGTTTAGTAACCCGTGGGTCACAGCTACGACAATAAACTGCGACATCCCAGGGACCAGATGCAGAAATTATGTGCACACACGACAACCATGCAACACCTGTTCCCCACACATACACTGGTATTTATAGAGGAAGGATGTGCTGTGAGCATGTGTGCACCTCACACATTCTTCAGATGAGGAGTACACACGGGTTTTAGCTAAAATAGCTGCAGGTGATGTGGTGAGAACGAGATTAAATATAAGTTGAGAGACAGACAACGTTGTTTTTAGGTTGTTTGCCAATTTCACTGGTTGTTTAGCAGGCTACACAGTGCTCTGTAAAATGTCAATCAAAAGCACATTTATAAAAGTATAAATACCTTGACCTGATGCTGGAGGAGCATGTCATTTTTTGACTGTCAGTGTTCTAGGTCAGTCAGCAGGTAGAGCACTGAGATCTGTACTGAACAAGGTTAAACAATGTGGCAATCTAGGATTTTATACTTATACACAACTCTTTAATTAGTGTGTCCTGTGTTTGGGGTTTCCAAGAACATACAAGTAGTAACACAGTGCATTATAGAGCGAGTCAATCTTTCCTGGGTGTCCATAAATTGACTTGAGTTTTGGCCATTAGTGGAGATATGGGATGGGAACCTCCGAACATCTGGCATAAATGTCAAATGCTGCAGCTTTGGAATAGTCTTGTGAAGATGTCGGATCAGAGACTCACAAAAAAGGTTTTTAATTGGGACATCTTCCACTGTCATCCCTGGACTAATAAGCTTAAGTCATTATCTTATTTGAACAACTTGTCATTTATCTTCCAGAACAGGTTACTTTGTGATATTCAGGAGATGAACCCAGAGGAGGACAGAATTTGAGGTTCACTTCTTGTTTTACTGTCTTGTATATGAAGACATAAGGGATTCACTTTTCAATAAGATGACCTCTACCTATGTTGAATTCTTTTGGTTGGATGATCATGAAAAGTTGAGTTTTATTTCAGAACGTGAACCTTTCTGTGGCTGAATTTCTTTGCCAGGCCTGGGATAGATGGAAGAGTATTCTGTTTCTGGACTGAGCAGTTAAATAACATGTATTCTTAATTGTTACTGCAACATCATTGTAATGGTGTCTTGTAAACCCATGAGGGTCACTTTGTCAGGTCAATCTCAACGTGAGCCATGAGAATGAATCATTGATCATCCTTCTCACATTTAATTATAATGATGATGATGATGCATATTTTCCACGATGATGGTTTGCAAAAATGTGGTGAATTAGTGGCACTGACGCCACAAATAGCCGCAGCTGTGCGTAATGACAGCTACTCTGGCAGCATCCAGGAACCTCGCTGATACAACCCAGTCGGTGAAACTGCACTTTCTTTACTGTATTTCTGACTGGAAGGTCAAATGAGCGGTGGAGGGGAATGAGTAGCAATATGCAAACAGATGTTTATTAACAGATGTTTATAGGAACAAAGAATATAGGGGGTTAGGGGCCATAGATCTGGGCATTAGTTTAATGACTGCTTTTGTTAAAAATGTCTCAGCTGCCATCGTCAGAAATGCTCTTTGGATAGGAAACCATTCATAGTGGAGAAAAGGAGAGGGAGAGCCAGATTTGGCCTACATTATAAATTGGTATAAGCTGATTATTCTACAGAACACCAACATTTGAATACTGATTGGTGTAGTTTATCTAGCAAATACATTTTTAATACAATTAATTATTTTAAATATGGGGGCCTGATAGCAAGTATATATCTGATAATTGTAGCAATGAAGTAATGAATAAATTAAATAATAAAAACATTCCAGAGAGCATCAGAGACGTCGCATGGCTAATTTCGGCAGGTAGACTCCCAGTGAGCGCTGCAGTGTCTTGGAGCTGTTACGTCACCAATGATTCATTGTAACAAGCCTGAAACCCAAGAACACCTTTAATCGACTGTTAGAGAGCACAAGAGGTCCGGCTCATCTTTGAAGGTCTGGGTGTAAATTTTATCATGTTAAAACTCTGTGATGTATGGACACTTTGAAGCCCCCAAATGCCCCCAAAACATAAAGAACTGACGGATATGTATGCATATTTCTGCTTTTGTGCTTACACACAGTTTAGGTTGTGAATCTACACAGAGTTTTATGCATCAGGGGCCATATTCACAAAGCTTCCTAGTGCTAAGAGTTGTCTTTAGAAAATTCTTAGAGTTGTGACATTTTCTTAGAATTTCCCCTTAAAGTTAAGACTAGGTCCTTGTAAACATAAAAGTTATTCACAAACCTTGAAAGAGCTCCTAAGGTGAAAAGCTGTTAGGAGCAGGGAGGAGGATTTTTAAGAGGCTTAAGTGTCTTAATCAGAGGAGAAAATGCTGTAAACACAAAGAGGTGGAAGAAATATTCTCCAAACGCTGGATGACAGTGAGTGAAAAAAACGCTACCGATTAGCTTGTGCAGGGATAATATGTGTGGTCGATCTCCTTAGGGGTAGGCACACCTTTCCCACCTAATACAATAATGCTGTAACGCCAGAAATAAAATGATAACAACACAAAGATGTTTGGAAAACTGGAAACTTGCAACAGTGCAGCAGTGATGACTTGGGTCTGTCTCAACCTTCCATCAGCAGAGTGATCACACTAACAATAGCCATGTTTCCATCAGCCTGTTTAGAATCACATCTAGAAGTATCGCATTGGAAAATTATGATGGAAACGCCAAAATTTGAATTAAAATCCCCTGATTCGCACAAACTAAAATACGCTCCTTTTAGCCGGGGTTTGGTTGATTAGAAAAAATGTTGATTCGCAAAACGGGATGGAAAAAGTTATGTGCGAATTAAGTCTGACGTAGCGCACCTCTCTCCATTTTGATAGCCACACTCCGGGTCGGGAAGGCGGTAATGCATTTACAAGCTGGTTGCCAACCGCCAGAAAACGTAGAAGAAGAAGAATGCAAGACTTGTTTTGTTTCCAGTTCTGCAGAAAAATCGCGCAAGTTCATAGTTTTCACCAAAGTCCGTACATTTAATGGAAACACACAGGATTCGTATTTCTTTTAATGCACATTTCCCAATGATTCAAATCCCTTTTGGATGGAAACATAGCTAATGACAACACTTTCACGGTCAGCAGTTCTCTTCATTTCAAAGGGCGTGTCTGTGACAACCAATCATATCTCTTAAAAGCTAGCATCACACCTAGCAACGGGGTCAACCACACCTATTCACTAAGGTAAAAGTTTCTGTCCCTTCCTCGCTCAGAGTTGTTCTGAGAACTTCCTAAATCACTCCTAAGTTAGGAGCTCTTTGAGAGTATTCTCAGAATATTTGAGAATACGTCCCCTGGCCCTGAGCCTGTGGGTCACAGCTCCAACCACAAACTGTATAGTCCCTGCGTTCGGTCAGGGACCTTGTTGGATGTCATCCCTGAGCTCCCTCTCCCCTCATACCCTGCCATCTGTCGTATAAAGGCATAAAATGCCATTAAAATATACCAAAAACTTTGGTTTCCCGATGAAATTAAACAAGCAATTTCGACTTTCCTCTGGCAGGTCAACAGCTGCTTTTGTTTTCTACTTTTTTGTGATTAACTTGGTCTCATTCTCCTCTCAAACTGTCGATAAAACGTCTCAAATCAAAGTTTATGAAATTTGGAGATGTCCTGCACTTCACTTTCCACTTTCTGCTAATCACGGCTCATCAAACACGACGAAGACTGATGGAAAAAAAATGGTCCCACAATGACTCAGCACGTCCCGCGTCTGTGGAGCAGGTGGAGGAGTTCAATAAGTGAGAATTACTGGTAAATAAAAGTGACATTTAATGAGAGTCAGCTTTAAGGTCAGAGATGCCGTCTCTAACTCCTTCCCTCGAGTCAGGCTAGACCAACGGAAATGAGGACAATGGCGCACACACTCTCACATGTACGCTCACACACACTAAGACACATGGGGATTGCATCATTTTTTATGATCTCATCCGTTCGCTGATACAGATTATCACTCACTGGGGGGCTACTTGACCTGCAGAGAAACAGTGCTGGGAACAGATTTGCCTTGTAACGACGAGAAGTCACGTGTCATTTCAGCTTCATATAAAAGATGTCGAAATGTATGTTCTGTGAATCTAACCAGGGTTACTTTACAGTGTTGTTCAGCAGAGCTCTGTGTTCGTTTTTATTCAAGGTCATGTTTAAGACAGCTATTTAAGGTGGATGTATGGCTCCAGCTCCACAAGGTCTGCTCGCCAGTATCATATTCCTTCCAGTGCTTCATCCGTGTTGTTCTCTGCCTATCTGAAAAGAAATCTATATGAGTATTTGTGTTGCTGGTTTAGTAAATATCTCCACTATTCATCGACTCCCAGAGAGCCTATGTGTCCTTGGTTGAGACACAGAGCGACGTCAAATGTTTTTCCTGTCACAAAACTATTCATTACAATTCACTGCAGTGTACTGATAACTTCACCAGCTGGTTTCAAGGTTGTCTTACTGTACTCCGCGTAAAGACGAGTTAATCTTTTGCCCAAAATAAAAAAAGAATGGGTTGATTCTTCAATTGCATACTTAATACAATAGCTTCTTTTTGTGGTTCAGCTTCAAAGGGTTGGAGTCATCTATCGTTCACCAGCTTCAAGTATTTGCACCTTACTTTGATACTTCTAATGGAGCAACACTGCCATCTGCTGGCTGAATCATACTGTTACTCTTTTTTAAACCTGGATAAAATGAAATGATCTCTTTCTTGTCCTCCTTCATTATGTGTACTCATAAGTCCATGCATGCGCACGTGTCAGGCGCCATGACCTTATTAGTAATCCCGTCCCACACACAGGAATGCGTGTACTCTCCATAACATCTCTCCATCCTTTTGTTAAGCAGAGAGCATTTTGGGATTTGGAGTGTTCGATGAAAGGATCACCTGGGAATCTTACATGCTAGTAGTAGTGCCTATTTATACACAAACAAACAGTGGCTGTCATAGTTATCTAATGTGTTTCTTAGAAACGCTGGGGCTCAGTAACCTGCCAACACGTGCCCCCACTGTGCCCACTGATATGCAGCTTAGGGAAAAGGTTTTATTGTTCTGGCTTACAATGATGTATCTGGTGGATCTGATGGAGTAAAATCCTCTTTCCACATCTTAAATGGCCACACAAGCTGAGAGGGAAGTAAATCTCATTTGCCATTTTATTCATCACATTCAAACCCAGAGGAGAACTCATAAAATGAATTATTGTTTAACTTCTCTGTAAATAAAGTTAATCCCTGCTGCACCACAAAGGAAGACTGCTTACTTCTCTAAACAAGTCTTCCATGTAGGGGCATTTTTTTTTTTTATAAATGTCTGTTGGTCTGTTGGCACACAGCCAAACTGTTTTTGTAAGAGAAAAGGCCTGATGTTGAGGTGATAGCCCGTTCTGAGTGACCCAGAAAAGGCTGTCCAGGCTCAGATCTGTCCTAAGCCCACTGATCCAGAGAGTGAGCTGATGAAACTCTGTCTGGATCAAACAATAACCAGAGAAGACATGGGGCATCTGGGGATAAGGGGTGGACACGTGGAAACAGTCTCCACTGCCAGCATGTTCAGGACTGCAATGGCATGTTGGCGTGTCAGGTGGCAGAGCCAAGGCATGTCTTCAGAGCCAGCTGAGTCGTGAGCTCGTGACGAATGTCCCGTCTTTTGTTTCCTTTCAACAATGGGGACAGGCTGGGGGACAGACGGAACGTGTTCAAAGAGAGGTCAAAGCGATGTACCAGAGGACTACACTGCAACACATCCTGTTCACGTGTTCATATTTATACCCTCCACATCCTCAATAACATCCTTGATAGATTACTACGAGTTAAATCCTCTAAGATTTGCAAACAAATGAGCTCAAGGAGAGACGGATATTTTGTCTCAGGTTGTTGAGAGTGGATTATCTCGTCTTTCATCCTTCATCTCATCTTTAATCCTGTTCCCATTCTGTCTTTTTTTCCCCCCCTTGTTCCCGGCACGGCAGGTATGAAGCGGAGAATGCGTTCTTCTTCAATCTCAACCTAGCTGACTTCAACATCATCGACACTCTGGGGGTTGGTGGCTTCGGTCGTGTCGAGCTGGTAGGGGGGCGCTGCACTGTGACAGTAACGTCTTTAACAATTGTCTAACGGGCTGTGAGGGTTAATGCGCTGGCTGACCTTTGTATTTCTTTTCTTTCCTTCTCACTGCAGGTTCAGCTCAAGAGCGATGAGAACAAAACCTTTGCCATGAAGATCTTGAAGAAGCGGCACATTGTTGACACAAGACAGCAGGAGCACATTCGTTCAGAGAAACTCATCATGCAGGAGGCCCACTCAGACTTCATCGTTAGGTACAACCCCTGAAGCGCTTCATTGAATATGGATAATCTACTGTACAGAGGTGGAAAAAGTGTTACAATACTGGACTCAAGTAAAAGTACTGTCATTTTAAAGAAACTTTACTCAGGTACAAGCAAAAGTAGTCGGTCAGCAGACCCTTTATATCCAAACCAACAGTAAGTTCCACTCTGCAGCCTGTACATCCAACTGATCATCATCAGTTACAATTAGAGGTCCAGTGTGAAAGATTTAGGGGAATTTGGCACAAAGGGAATATGTTTCGGAGTTTGCATGTTCTCCCCGTGTCAGCGTGGGTTTTCTCTGGGTACTCCAGCTTCCTCCAACAGTCCAAAGACATGCAGGTTAATTGGTGACTCCATATCGGCTGTAGGTGTGAATTTGAGTGTGAATTTGAGTGTGAATGGTTGTCTGTTTGTATGTGTCAGCCCTGTGATAGTCTGGTAACCTGTCCAGAGTGAACCCCGCCTCTCGCCAAATGTCAACTGGGATAGGCTCCAGCCCCCATCCGGACAATTCAGCTCCCAGTAAAAAAAAAAAGAAGAAAAAAAAAGAAAAAAGAAAAACTGAATGCGTGGATCAGAGGGAAAAGGTGAGCGCACATTAGCAGGATCCAGGCTGGCAGTTTGTCTGCCAAACAGCATCGGAGAAACACTGAGTGGGAACAGGAAACTGCTTTTGTCAGTGTTTTTACCAGTTTTAATCACCTGGTTCGATTGTGTTGGAGAGGATGAGACCTCTGCGGATAATTCAGCTCCTGGTAAAAAAAAAAAAAAAAAAACCCTGAACAATGTACAGTGAAGGCATTCTAACTGGGAGAAGGTTCAGCTGGTTGCAGTCTGCAATCTTCACCACTAGATGTCACTAAATCGCTCTAAATCTTTACACACTGGACCTTTAAGTGAAATTAAAAAGTAAGTCAGTCACAATACTCTTAATGGGGGGCATCTTTAGACTGCACGACACTGTACACAGGCTTGGGAACATCATCAGCAGATCACTTATGTCCAAACAGACAATAAATTCCATTTCTGTGGATGGCAGTTTGCAGCCTGTCCATAGTACAACTGGTAACCAATCACTAGAGGTAACCAAAAAAGAGACAAAAAAAAACAACATTAACTAAAAAGTCTACGGACACCAGCGGCGGGTGCAACGAGTAACATTAAGTTACACAAAACAAATAACCTGACACTCCTTATAAAGTCAACAGCAGAATAAAGCAATATAACTCCACAGCAATACACATTACAGCAGACATAATACACAATATTTATACACCACGCAGCAGGCAACGGTTGTTGACGTTTACATCTGGATAGTGAGGTAAACAGTTTGTGTTTGTACTCACCTGTCGTCGTGAACGTCACTCTGTGAGCCTCGTGCACTGCGAAGTTCTCCTCAAAGTTTTCCAGCCTGTTGAGCTGAATGGTCAAAAACAGTAGAAAGTCCTGTCACGAATTACTGAAGGTAAATCCCGTTATAGCGTCATAGCGTGTTAGCCTGAATCAACTCCACACCTGCGTCACGCCAACAGCGCAGGTGTGGTGTGGGTCACTTCGCGTGCTCGCCAGGTGGATGGTTATGTGAGTAACTGATTACGGTAGATTCAACTTTTTAAAACTACGCCTAGGTGTAATAAAGCTAACCATGACCACTGCGGCTAGCAGCCGTCGTTCCGCATCCTGTCCCATGCTCTGACACTCGGCAGGTGAGCGTAGGCTACACCTTTCCAACAGGTAACTCCTCCGTACTGTCAGCTGACTGCAGACTGTCACCTGTGTGGAGCTCTGCCCTCCTGCGGCTGCAAACACACCTGCAGCTGCTGATTGATCTTTCTTTGGTTAATTTCTTACACAGTTTAGGACTAACTCAGGTGACTTTTGTTATTAGGCGACTTGAAGTGTAGCAAAGTGTACACGTGTTAAAAGTGGGCCTATATAAGTAAATACTCAAATAGTACAGAAAGGCTACACAAAGAAACGACAAGGAGAGCAGTGTTGTGCAAGTCCAGGGACGCTGCTGGACATCTGGGTGCACAGTTGGTCCCCCTCCCCTCCATGGGGGAAAAAAGTAAAAAATTAAAAAGCAAAAACAAAATCAAAACAAACAAAAAACAATCAATCATATGATACAATATGATATCAATACCATTATTGTTCAAATAAATAATAACAAAAACACAACTGTCCCATTAGTCACACAAAACACAACTTTAAGATTCTGCAGAGACAGTACATTCTTCTAGAACTAGGCTATAGAACCGGCAGGAGGCTCTACAGAGGCAAACATCTGTAGTAATGAGGTCATTAGACTGCATGACAGCTTCTGAGTGAGTTCTGCATGGATGCTGATGACAGAAAGACCACCAGCTGTTCTTGTCCCATTGTTGAACGCAAACATGTTTTAATAAACTTAAGTTTAGAATTTAAGAAACAACTTCATATAGCTGAGGAAACTGACTGTATATTCACAGACACCATGCAATTCAACAATGCTCAACATACATACCTCTATTATTTTAGTTTGTCTGTGGCACACTGTGGCACCAGACAAGTGTGAAATTTTATGAATGATTGCACCCATCATGATTAAAAGCAAGTAGCAGAACAATAAAAACACAGCAGATATGTTTTAATAGGCCTATTTGTTGTAGCCTGGACAGGCCTTCAAATCGAGCAACACAAATCAGTTTTTAATATTCTTGGCAGGGTAAAATGAAACAACAGCTGTTTCTCAGAAATTTGTTAGTAATTTCACATTTTTAATTTCACAATAAAACTAATGAAACAAAAGCGAAACAAGTTATTTACAAAACCATAAACACACTGAGGATTATACTTTAACCCTGGCAATATTTGAAATCCTGCACTTAGACTACAGTTCACCACATATTTTTGCCCTTGATGTGCAGGAGGTAAAAATAATATCCATATTTCCAGGAAAGCAAGCTCGAATCATCTGAACTGTCGGTCACTGTGTGCAGTGACATTCTCATGGTAGATCATAACCTTTGAAAAAAATCCATGGAATAGGCTGTGTTTGTCTGCTATGACAAACACACATGTAACAACAAGCTATTTAAAGTTTCAATAATTGTAACTGTGTCTAGGTACCACCAAAAGTAGTGGTATTACAGAAACCCAACAGTGATCGAGAGTAAATGTAAATCTATACTTCTACTCCTGCTACGATATACTCCATACATGTCACAAGGATCGGTATTGTATTACCTCAGAACCAAAAGCACGTGATTCTTTGTCGTTCTAATAAAGGTCTCTTCACCTGAAGGTCAAGTATATTGAAACAATTTACATTGTACCATCGATACAGAATGAATGTGAGTGTTTGTGTGTCTACCTGTGGTGTTCCTGAGATACTGAGTTATATAAGATGTTTCTCCTGCTATCTTCTATGTATGCTGGATAATGCTCCAACTTTGTTTGACCCTGAAAGAAAATAAGAAAGCACATGAGTCTACATGTCTATGTTTCACTCTGTATATAAAGGTCTAGTAGAATCAACAAAATAGCTCTATTTATGACCATTTACTGTGTTTAAAAGACGGTAACTATGGCATTTTGGTGTAAAAATGCTTCCTACATAATTGGGGGTTGTATTTGTATTAATTAAATAATTACACTCAAAAGCATGCATACAGGTTGGATTCTTAAATTTAGATTTTCTGTGCATACACTAAGGTCAGCAGGCATTCTGTGGGAGTATATTTCAGCTCGTCTTTTCACTTTGGAATATGAGTTAATTGCACTTCTCCAACCAGATATTCACTAAATAATTTTGGCTGTTTGAGATGATGTCCACCTTTGTGTTTCTAGACTCTATAGAACATTCAAGGACAGCAAGTACCTCTACATGTTGATGGAAGCGTGTTTAGGAGGAGAGCTGTGGACCATTCTTCGAGACCGGTAAGATCTATTTCACCAAATCAGACATGACTGAATTGTGTTAGCTTTGCTTTTGTTTCTGTTAATGCTAGTGATGCAAGGAGTTAGTTCCACACCATGTAGAACAGGGGTGTCAAACATACATCGTATGGGCCAGAACCAGCCCATCGAAGGGTCCAATCCGGCCTACTAGATGACTAGACTAAAAGGTGCCACGTTTCAGGAGCAAGTCAAACAATGCATTGCCTACTTCTTGTAAAATTCTGCTTTGGAGGCTTTTCCACCCTGACCAGGATACCGTTCTCTGATATAACAACAAGGCATCTCAGGCTGATAATCTGTTTTGTAAAAGGATCAACATCTACAGAAAGTATTTGTAATTCTATACACGCTAAAAGGAAAAATATTGGAGTTGATGGTATTTATAGGTCATTGTGCAATGGTTTTATCGGTCCAGCCCATCTGAGATCAAACTTGGCTGTATGTGGCCCTCGACCTAAAATGAGTTTGACACCCCTGATGTAGAGAGCCGCAGTTACATAGTCCTAGAACATTAAGTATCTCCTGTCCTGCTGTGTTTCCAGGGGTTCATTTGAGGACTCAACCACCAGGTTTTACACAGCATGTGTGGTGGAGGCCTTCGCCTACCTGCATTCCAAAGGAATCATCTACAGAGACCTCAAACCAGAGAACCTTATATTGGACCACAGGGGCTACGCCAAATTGGTACGAGATCAATAAGGGATTACCACCCCAGAAAAATAAACTCAGAATTGCATTTTCTGTGTCTTTTGTGAAAGCCGGAAACTCATCTCTCTGTGGTGCTACGCAGAAGGATCAAATGAAACTTGAACACTTGCCTCATGCTGGCAGTGAATGAAAGTATAATTATGGTTGTATAAAGAAAAGTAATTGAGGTTAAGTCAGGTTCTGTGTTTTTTGGGGTGACGCCATTCCCTCCTCTCTTGCCGGAGAAACCAGTTTGTTGCTTTTGGCAGAGCGGCAAGCAGCTCGACTCTTTCTATCAATCATGCCAAAGCATCGAGTGAAAACAGTAATGCTGAAATGATTACACAATTTTCAGCTTTGCCGTTATTATGCATGAGAATGTGCATGATGTGATAAAAATAACAGAGTATTTTATAGGCTATGACATGAATTCAAAATCCTGTTCAGCTTCATCTGACTGACAGGACAAAATTCTGTTTCTCAGGTCGACTTTGGCTTTGCCAAGAAGATCGGGTTTGGGAAGAAGACGTGGACCTTCTGTGGGACGCCGGAGTATGTAGCACCAGAGATCATTCTGAACAAGGGCCATGACATCTCAGCCGACTACTGGTCTCTAGGAATCCTCATGTTTGAGCTCTTAACTGGCAGGTACACACAAGCCTGGGCGTGTCCTTGAAACTAATATCTTAAGTGTTCTCTGTGATGGCATACATGGTATCATACACAACAACAAGAGATCTACAACCAATGAAAAACTATTTGGAAACTCAGATAGTGACAGTGGGGCGCACTAGCAAGCAGTTGATTGAATTCTGCCATACTAATGTGTTCTTCACTCAGGACTAATATCTTTGCCTCTGTTATGTAGCCCTCCATTCTCTGGCCCTGATCCTATGAAAACCTACAACATCATCCTGAGAGGCATCGACATGATCGAATTTCCAAAGAAAATTACCAAAAATGCTGCCAACCTAATTAAAAAGCTATGCAGGTGAGTGTCTGCGCTCCCAGCGATGGTTTAAACTCAGAGTAATTCATTTAAGTGGTCTGTGTGGTCGGAGTGCTGAGTCATCATATGTTTTTTTTTCACTGCAGGGATAATCCTTCTGAACGACTGGGAAACTTGAAAAATGGTGTCAAAGACATCCAAAAGCACAAGTGAGCACGTCTATAAATGGATATAATCCACTTATTTATTAATTTCTCTTCACAGCATGATGTGTGGTGAAACATGATGATGAAACTAAGAAGTGATGTTATTTTTTTCTTCAGATGGTTTGAGGGCTTTAACTGGGAGGGTTTGAAGAAGGGGACATTGACGCCTCCTATTATCCCTAACGTAAGTGCACACTGCTCAAACTTTCTTGCTGCTCTTTTTGTACAGGGTGTCTGCAGTTCCTTAAAACTCTTAAAGGTGCAGTGTGTAATATTTAGGGGGATTTATTGGCAGAAATGAAATATAATAAGTATGTTTTCGTCAGTGTATAATCACCTGGAAATAAGAATCATAGTGTTTTTGTTACTTTAGAATGAGTCGTTTATATCTACATATGGAGCAGGTCCTCGTCCGTGGAGATTGCTATGTTGCACCACCATGTTTCTACAGTAGCCCAGAACAGACAAACAAAACACTGGGTTTAGATAGAGCCACTCATGTTTCTGCATAGGCTACCATAGTTGGCAGACCCTCACTGACAAGAGCTTTGGAAAAACACTGATTTTTATTCAGTGTTTTTAACCAATTTAAATGACCAGGTCTGCTTGTTTTGGAGATACAAAGACCTCTGCCAATAACTTGGCTCACAGGAAAAAAAAACCCTGAATGTCTGGATCAGAAATATGGTGAGCACACATTAGCAGGTAGTGGGCGAGCAGCCTGTCTGCGATCTGCCAGACAGCTTCTGTTTTTTTTGACCTCACATTGTGTCAATCACGTTTGCCGGTGAGTCTGAAACTTTTGTCCGTCATTGCACACAGAATGTGTAGGACAGAGAGGGAGGACGGCTCCTCCCCTTCATGTGGCTGCAGTGACAAATGAAGGACAGGGAGGGAGTGATGACAGCCAAATAACTCCAGTGGAGAGAGGCAAAAGAGGAAATGTGTCTTTTCATTGTGTCACCTATTGCAAATTTTCACAACGAATAGAACAATGAAATGCATCGGAATCCGTTTGCAAGGTTTCTGTGCGAAACATTTTTTTCCGAATGATGGATTAAAAAAAAACTCATCTGGAAAAACAGACTCGGTGTGCGAAGGCCTAAACAAGGTTTTAATCACCTGGTCCGTTTAATTTGGAGAGGAAGAGACCTTTTCAGATATTTCTGCTCTGGGTAAAAAACCTCCTGAACAAAGATCACTGAGTGAATTCTAATGAGGGGAAGTTTAAACTGCCTGCAATATGCAATTCCCACCACTAGATGCCACTAAAGCTCCTTCAATCTTACACACTGTTCCTTTAAAACTTCCTAAATTCAATTTCATAAATATTAGGTCTTAAAAGTCATTAAATAGTCCTAAATTTTAATTTGTGAGGTCTTCATTGCCACAAAGATTTTTATCTTCTTTCATTTATCCATCTTTCAATGTATTTTTTTGTCGAAATGAGTCGAACTCCTCTGAATGAAAGTCCACATTTCTGATGTTACAAGTCTTTAAATCTACCACTGAACCTCATACTTTTTACTTTAGACTTGAAATTACAAGTTACAAGTTACTTACAAGTACCTACCTCTGCATGGGACTTCATACATACTACTTGACTTTATACCTACCTGCAATACTTGGATAAGAAAAAGCTGAAATGTCCAAAAGTCAGTCTTAAATTTGGTTTAAAATTATATTGAAAAGGTTTTAAAAGGCTTTAAACTGAAGTTTCTGTTACCTGTAGACAACGTGTTGTAGTCAGTCTTGTACTCATGGTACATTTCTTGTGTGGTTGTTCAGTCTCTCTGTGAACGATTCTTCCATCTGTCCATCAGGTCACATCGGCAGTCGACACAAGTAACTTCGACAGCTTCCCAGAGGACAACGAGGACCCGCCTCCTGATGACAACTCCGGCTGGGACGTTGATTTTTGAAGTCCTCCTCTCCCCCTTAAAACCAAAAGAAACTCTTCTTTTGTTGGCTTGGAGGCCACCTTGAAGACATGGCTGTGTTGTAAAAAAAAATAACTGCTTAAGAAGAAAGAGAGGATATGGAAAACAAGATAAACGGATGGATGGCAAACTCTTTGGGTCACCGATATGCCTTTATTTCACTGTGGCTCTGGAACAAGCATTTATAATGGGACTGCTGTAGCACTTCTTCAGTGTCGTCTTACACTCGGCTCGAAAGGCAAAGGCAAAGAAAGTGCAGGGATACACATATACACACACACAACACAACAGAGGCTGATAATGGAGCCAGTTTTCCCATGTAACAGGGAAAGATGTTTAGCGGGTGGATGAATGTTCGATAGTCTGTCTAAGTTTCGGTTCTAGGATAAATAAGAGTGTAAAAAATGTGAACTGCTCAAAAAGAGAGGAGGCTGATGATTGATTTTTTTTTCTGTTTGTTTCTCCGCAATATTTGCTGAAATGTTTGGAGGACTTTGCTGGGAGGATGTAAGATGTTACTGCAGTTGCTCCCTGTTTTTTGACACGCAGCTACTGGCTGCAGACTGCGATACTTTCCAGAGATCTACACACTACAGTTTGCAAGCGAAACTGGTATCAAGTGCTCAAGACTAACCTGAATGTCACTGATTTTCTTCTTATTTAACATCCATATGGCATACAGCATGTATGGTACGCAGTATTTGAACTTACATCCTCACACGTGAACACAAAATCAAATACTTAGTACACTTTGTATGAGATTAACCTACCTTGAAAAGCACAAGCACTGTGCATTCAGTGGAAAGAGACGTGACTCTTAAAGTGCCCTGTTTAAAATTTAATGAATCACACACCGACACACATGAAATGTCAGCGAGTATTTCCATGAAGCAATGTGTCATTACGCACTTAAGACCATTAACTGAGAAAATCAGCAGTTACAGATAATTTTAAGCTTCAGAAGATGAAGTCACACTCTTTTTTTGTTCTTAAATAAGCTTTTAATCACGCATATGAATGCTTCTCTACCTGAATATTTCTTCATTTTGTTTTTTTAAAATCACCCAAATGCCTCGTCCTCTGTTCGCCCCTGTATAGTTCTGATATGACTGTGAACTTGGTTTCAATGTCTTTGGTGCTGTTATTGATAAATTATGTTAAGCGGTGGTGAGATGACAGTACTGGTTATTGTTTTTGTAAGGTGATTTTTTTTTGTGCTTGATTTCTTTGTACCGTACTTGACTTCCTTCTTTAGAAAATTGGAGACTTGTGTCACTTTGTAAACTTGAGTGAAGAATTTGATATCACTTGACGCCATGTTGAATTGTGCTGATTGTGGTATTGTCGAGGTTTTTTTTTCCATCCATACGAATTAACCATCCTCCTCTTCTTCTTCACATTCACAATATCTTAAGAAAATCTGAACTTCATCTTTAATGGATATTTTCTAAATGTCTGGCAAAAGAGAAAAGCTCACAACTTTGACCACTACCGCCATGATCTCTCACCCAGCTCATCACCTCTCACGTCCGAAAATCAGATCATAAAATCAGAAGAAGTGTAAGTGCCTTAAATCAATGGCATACAAAATTATCATCACAAGTCCTTTTCGATGCTGCATGAACACATATACACCTCAAAAAAAAAAAAAAAGTATGTCCTCTTAGATGGCTGCTTCTCATCCTTTGTTATATCTAATAAACACATTAATCACCACCGAGAGAGAACTTCTAGTCATTTGATGGCTGACAAAACTGCATATGAAACACATTTCCTGGTTACCCCCCCTTTTTGATTTATCTCACAGGAACATTTATGAACACTGAAATTGATAAAAATCTATCATACCCAACATGGCTGCAATGACATGCTTCTCTCTACATATCTAAAACGCTTTTATGAAGTCAACCACAACTGGCCTGATAAGGTGAACGATAAATCACAGCTCAGAGGGATCATCCATCACCTGTGTCCGTCGAGAAATCTGAGCATGTAGAGACAGCAGGAATGATTTGCAGTTTTGATCATTTCACAGATTGGGAAACAATATTCCATTGATCATATTGACAGTCTTTGACGGTATGATAGCATTAATCATAACGTATCATCATCATCCACATTTTATAATAGCTCAACTCATATTTCATCCCAGGAAGCCAAACAGACCAACATTTAAATGATATCAATCACTGAATGATGTTGATGGAGAGCTAAGAACGAGATGAAATCTTAGCTCTGCGGGCATACCATAAGTATTTTGCTGTATTAAGGGCAGGTTATGTTTATCACAAAGCCTTATGTATGCCATCACTTTACAAACCACTGGTTTTGAGTCTTATATTGACCGCCTTCTGCAATGTTACCTGATATTTGCCTTGTGTTCTGTTGTTTATTCTGCTGTAAATTAATTTTGCAGAGTGCCACCTGTAAGATTTTTAAAATTATAGAGTAAAAACAATACTTTTGAGTGGTGTTTGTCTCTTAGTTATTTTAAATAACCTGGAGTGAGTGGTTGGGAACGTGTGGAGATGTTACAGTTTCCTGTTGTAGCCACAAGAGGGAGCTGCAGGTAAGAGGGACCTCTGTGAGAACCAGCTGCCTCAGCCTGATGTGTGAACTGGCTAAGGTTGCCTGAGATTTAATAATCGGTCCTGGAGTTAATGTCATCCACTTACTGGTAAGTGCGGATGATTCAGCTTCTCTGGTCTCAGTGTTATTCGCACAACAAATCTGTTTGGGGGGACAGGGAAATGGCTTCAGCCATAACAACAGGGTGACACCTCTGTGAGATCAAAGGGGATCAAAGTGCATCAAAGGAGCTCACCTTACCAGCACTGACATTTACTAAAGTGGAGATAAAAGCTCTACTTCAAAAGACATACAGCAATTCAAACGCGCAAAGTGCTACAGTGTTTGTCAGGTGTCTATGGCGCATCTCCTTCTCTGACGCACACACGCATATGCACGCACACACACACACACACACACACACAGGTTCTCACACTCAAACATGAGCTACGTGACCAGCAGATGACGTCCAAGTGCAAAGATATCTTCATAGAGGGAAATAAAAGGGCTCGTTTCCATCTCAGCACCTGTTTTTCTCAGCATATCTGAAATCCATTTCCAAAAATGCTGTTTCATAGATTTGCAAAATGGGATTTAAGTCAAGAAAACATATTGACCAAAGGGTGAAATGATCCAGGCTGGAGTCAGACTCTCACCTTAAAGATTTACCCTGAATATTTCAGGACATTCATCGCCCCAGCAGTGATATTTCTTGCAGTGGAGGAGCCCAAAGGGTCAGAGAGCAGCGCAGATCAGAGAGCTGCCTTTAATCTCAAAAGTGCCAGTCAACCCTGAAAGGCCTCGCCACGGAAGTCCATTAATTCGGTAAACTTTTCACACCCCTTAATGGTCTGCATATCCCACACATTGATGTCCGCCACTGGTGTAATCAAGCGCACTTTGGAGGATAATTGCCCCCCCTCTGCAATCACAAGGATCAAATGAAGTAGTTAATCGACGGCAAGTAACTTCAATCACTGTCTTCACACAGCCAAAGGGCAGCTGGGCTACTTGAATGTCAAAGAAAGTGGAATAACCAAACAGCTTTTAGGAAGAAGGGTGAGTTTATGAAGAAGGAACACTGGTGAGGTGTTGTCACAGCTATATAGTTGGAAAAAAAATGTGCTGCAATATTTTGCCTATAATAAAGTCATTAAAATAAAATATATTAATGAATGAACAGCTGGCATCAAGATTTCTGGAAAACAAAAACTGCTCATTTGAATAAGTGCTCTGTAGAACAAGAACAAATAACTTTATGACTCATATTTTACGTTTTATTCGAAGTAAATTTACCATAATTAAACTTTATTGAGAGAATTCTATCAGTGTAGTGAGACTGGCACATCTGTTTTCCACAACTGCTCATCAGTCAGTGTTGAAACAAAGCAGGAAAAGGTGCACAACTTAAATTAGCACTTGTGTTAGGGGAAAAATATAAAATAAAAGGGAACATTTCTCATTTATTCAGTGTTTTTATGACTGAAAACGTGATTTAATTCCAACTAAATTGAGTGTATCCCGACTGGATATGCTTTATTGCCAGTATGCGTTCCTAAGAGATGGGCATTCAGACTCTGCAGGTCATTATCATTACACAAACATTGTGAAACGCAGTCCTGTCGCGCAGAATGGATGGCCATTTCCGTACAGTGGGGCTCTCTCTTTGAAATTCCATCCCTCCGCCTTTGTTGTGCACAGCGAGGGGCGGGAAGACAAACAGGTCCACATGTATAAAGAGATCATCCCAGGACTGAGAGGCAGGAGGCTTCGAAAGCATCGTGCCGAAACTCTTTGGAAACTTTGGGATTCGGGACTCCAAGGCCGCTTTGGACTTTGTCGCACTGACATTTTTTTCTGTCAGTAAATCAGAGGGATTTTTTTTTTGTCCGTGTGTTTTTGCAAGAAAGCAGAATTTAAAAGGAGAGTCATGCAGATACCGGCAGCGCATCGCTTCTTGGCTGTGTATCTCACGCTGTTTGGATACCTTGGGGACGTTTACACCGGGACAGTCCTGGTGAACTCCAATGCCATCAAAAACTTGCCCGGTGCTTCGGGTGGCAAAGGCGCCGACTCTGTCAGTCCGAGTCCGCGCACCTCTCCCTCCAGCGGCATGGGACACAAGTTACCCGCAGACACCTTGCAGGTAATTAACTTCCCCGTGCGTAAAAGTCACTTCTGTGCGTAACGATACAAGTTGCGTTTACGTACAATGTATATGTGATATCTGAACTCTCCAATGACACAATGCTTTTGTTTTTATCACATTGTAGCAGTCAGGTGTTTGCACGGATGATGAAGATTGTGGAGTTGATGAATTCTGCAACGACGCCCGCGGCGCCTGTCTGCCCTGCCGTAAGAGCCGGAAGCGTTGCGCACGGGACTCCATGTGTTGTGCAGGAAACCGCTGCAGCAATGGTAAGCAGAGGCATCCCCTATGAAATCATTTATGATTAACAAAGTTGTGATTTGTATTCTGATAGTTTGCTTGTGGCCACACTGTCTGCATGTTTCCAGTTATCCATTAATTTGAATATGCCCCGCTCATAGACACAGACTGAATGCATCTCTTTCTTTTGACCTCTCTAGGTGTTTGCCAGGCAAATGACATAGTTGGTACAGATGCATCTATCACCACTGGCTGGCACAAACACAACAACACTATGGAGCATCATGCCAAGAAGCCTCCCAGTACCCACGGCAATCAGCCTCATGCTTCAAAAGGTGAGTGTCACATTAAGGACCATCAATCTTTATAACGTTAGTGTAACAACACAAGCAGCTTTTCAGTGAAGCCTGTTTCATGTGACATATTTTCATCACTTCTCTTCCCTCTCCAGGCCAGGAGGGGGATACTTGCCTGAGATCTGCAGACTGCTCTGAGGGTCTGTGCTGTGCCAGACACTTCTGGTCTCGCATCTGTAAGCCTGTGCTGACTGAGGGCCAGGTGTGTACGCGCCACCGCAGGAAAGGCACCCATGGCTTGGAGCTTTTCCAGCGCTGCGACTGTGGCGACGGTCTGGCCTGCCGACCAGAGAAAGGAGAGCGAGATCACAGTGTCAGCAGGACAGCAGCCCGGAACCTACACACCTGTCAGAGACGCTGACACAAAAGCGTGGACACACACACACAGGGACAGATATACAGACACACACCCAGCAAACCCACAAATCAGTCACAGACACTGACAGACACTTTTCAGCCTTGCATACACCAGAGATGCTGACACACACACACACATAGATACCCAACACCTAAGACATTCTTTCCTGCCAAAGTTGCTGACACAAACAGCACCCGGAAGGATAGACATGATTCCTGGAAAAGTGATACACCCAGAGGGATGCAACAGTGAAAGATGGACTGATCCGATTCCCCATCAACAGATGAGGAGTCAGAAGTTAGGAAGTGACATTTCAGAAGTCTTGGGAAGATCGATTCATGTCGTCGGTAATGGCAGAGCTGTTTTGTTTCTCTTTTTATGGAACTTCAGTGCAACAGTTATTGCAGTAAATTACTGTATTGTAAATATTATCCTCAATGTGGCACTTATGCTATGGAATCCTGTCAACACCAGTATTATAGAGACATGGTGCTGCATGAAATGTAAATGTGTTATATATATATTATATATATATTGTTTAGAAAAATTGGAATATATTTGTTTTATTAAACATCATGTTATAACCATACTCCTTCTTTCTGCTCCTTATTTTTGCCTGTAGTTGTTCTGATCTACAAATCTACAAAAACACAGGGTTGCACTCTAGATGTGAACATAACTTCTCCAGCAGCAGTTAGGGTCCAAACCATTTAGTCCAAATATTCACTTAACGGTTGGTACGGTGGGAAATGCTTCCAGCAAAACAACAACCATCCCCTTCTGGAAAGCAAGAGTTATTTGAACAATCACTTGGCGGTGTTTAACTCGTAGCCCAGTATTCACAAATCAGCGGTTGAGGCCGAGTGGATGGTTGAAATGTTTGGCCTAGATATGCTTCTCATTACGCACAATTGCTGAAATATGTGCAAACACACACACACGGAAAAACACACTTACAACAAACAGCGATCTTTGATGAGTCATTAGTGGAGCCTCAGCAGGCCACATCCTGCTGTGGAAGCAGAAGATGGTCCATCAGGGCTATGTCATCAGAGGAACATGAAAAACAGGACAGGATGCTGCCGTATCAAATGATAACTGCAGAGTGGTAATAACAAGTATGTGTGTCCTGGCGAGTGTTTGCCACCTAACCCTTTGGTGTTGCTGGCTAGTTTCTAATTATAACTTCCCTGCCTTCAAGTGCAGCAGAGCAGATAGCTAGCTATCCAAACTAAAGCCTCTAATTACTTCATCTTACTCAATCTACACAAGGATTCGTGAAATGAGGTGCACCGCAGTTTTTGTGATGCAACTTAAAAAAAAGAAGAAGAAGAGGGATCCTGGTTCTTGCTCTGCCCGGTCGCACAGCACACCCCATTTCCTGGCTGTTGTGCAATGGATGTGCTCTAATGTGTAGGCTATGAATCCACCCAAATACACCTTGGTGCCTGTAATTAGACCTGTTTAGATTAGAAGATGGCGAGGAAATTACTGTACTTTTTGCTTGATTCTCGTGTCAGATCAAAAGAAGCACAAGACGCTCTTGACATCTGACCGAGCCAGGTAATCTCTTCATCTGTTTACCTCCATATGCATTAATTTGAAGTTTGTCAGAGGAAGACAAGGTGAGGTTTATTCCGGCTGTCACTGGGGATCAGGATAATGTCATTTACTCAAGTGCTGTATTTGAAGTACTTGTACTTTAATTGAGTAGTTCCATTACTTTATACTTCTACTTCCATATAGTTTAAAGGAACACGCTGTACCATCTACTCCACAACCCTTATCTGAAAACTGCTGTTACCAGTTAGTTTAATAAGCTTATAAAATACAATCCATTTGTTTAACAGCACATTAAACTACCCACTAGTATATATAAACATTAAAATCAGCTGTTAATGCATCTGTAATAAAAACACGGTAGTATAATATATGAAAATATACGACTGGCAGGAACCATTCTGCCTGAAAAATTAGTAAGATTATGTACAGTTGTTCTAATCATACTTAAAACTGTCACTGATGTTACTTATATTCTGAATGCAGGAGTGTTTTTACATTCTGATATTGCTACTTGTACTTAAAGGGATAGTTCTGATGTATGAGGTACTTACCCATAGTCAGTGTATTGCATACAGTAGTTGGTGGTCTGCATGCTCCCTGTTTGGAGAAGCAGACAGGACTAGCACCACAGAAGCTCAGCAATACATTGCTATAGATTAGGGTTTGCAAATAGAAAATAGCAAATCATATTTTAGGTTCTGAAAAAAGGCCTATCTGAAAAGAAATCAATGTCAGTTAAAGTGGACGCTATATTTAGAATACTTTTACTGCTTCACATTGCCATCAGACAGCCCCTTCCTTTGACACTACAGTCTTTCAGTCGTATAACTTAAAAAATGAAGTTTCGTCTAAAGCCCCTTTTACACTGCCAGATTTTCCGCAAATGTTGGGCTGTTTTGCCGGCAAGCTGCAAGCGTTTAGACACACAGAGCCGGATTGGAGAGTTGATCCGAGGTGCCCAATTTTCCGCCTCGTAGGGTAGTCATATTGGCGAAACCCTTTTAGTTTAAACAGACTGAGGCAGCCTTCCGCAATGGGAGGGGCTGTTGATGACTTGTGGGAGGAGCTGTTGATGACGCCGCACGTGCGAGCCACTGGCGGTGGATAAACAAGAAACAGCTGATAGCAGGAATTAACAAGCAGCTAGTAGCAAGAGGGAAACGCAAACCTGACAGACACTGTAAAGATGAGCAACTGGGGAGACAAAGAATTGCGCGCCCTCCTTGCCCTCGAAAACGAAGAGGCCATTAACCGTCAGATGAAGGGGACGGTGAAGAATGGGCCGACTTACGAGAGAATTGCCGAAGGACTGACCAGCCGCGGCTTCCCTCCCACGTCACTGTTTACGTCACACGCTGAGCTACACGTTTTGTTACTTGCTCACGCCCCCCATTGCCTTGAAAAAGGCGCATTAAGTATAAACAAAAGTAGGTAGGCAGCATTTTGCCGCACTCCCCGATTTTGTTTTTATACTGCCAATGCTGAAAAAAGACTGATTGGTGCTTGCCTGTAAATTTGCAAAATTCCTATTGAAAAAGGGCTTACGTCTAATAGCGCAACAGCACTTTCTGACCCAAACAGCTAACCTGTGGTGTAATACCGTGCACGGCACAGTTGGGTGTTTGCATAGGAATAAGAAAAACAGCTGTGGCTATTTGCACTGAATATAGACATCAACCTGCAAGGGTGAGATAACTCAGGGTTTGCAGTGAACATTTCTCTCAAGAGGATTTTATAAAGGTGGTCATGCTGAGCCACTGGTGAGCATCTGCCGCCCTCGTCAGTGTGGTGTGCCCTGCACCGTTAGCCCTCCCCAGCGCCAGTTGGCCTTTTCCCGTCCATTCATGCTGAATCGGTGTTGAGAAGAGAAACAGAAGAGAGGATTATAAACAAAGAGATAGAGTTGAGAAATTCAAAATGATTCTTAGGTTGTGTTGTACCCAAGTCCCACTTAGGCCAGTAGTAGCTGTCTGGGTCTGAGCATGTCTGAACATGGGTTTGTTTACACAGTTAGCTTCTGCTCTTTCTTGGCCTCCAGTTTCAACACATTCTCACTCTGACCTCGTCACATATCAACGTCTGGTTATGGACCTTCCACGTCCAGTTATGATGTGAAAGGTACCCTGGGTGAGTTGGTTGTTGATGTTCTGGGACGCCGTGTCAAGTTCAGCCTGTTACATGCATTGTCTTCTTTCAAAGTACACTTCTGTTTTCACAGGAAATTTACAGTTTACAAACAGTCTCTTTCAAATAAATGCACTACGTCAGTACAACAACGAGACACAAGGACGACCAACGCATGTGGTTGGGTTTAGGCAACAAAAACACGTGGTTGGGTTGAGGAAATAAGAACAGGATTTGGCTGTATAATCTTACAGGATGCGAACGCCATTCTCTCGGGTGAAAGTTGTTGGTTGTTGGCAAGTGCTGTCTAATAGCAAGGTTAAGCAGTGGAAATAGTCTCAATAGGGGTAGGTAACCTGTGGCTCCGGATTAATCTCCTCTACAGTGGCTCCCTATGGGTATGTCAAACAAAGGAAATAAATAACATATTTTTACATTTTTATTTTTCATACATCAGTGCTCTGGGCCTAAAGTGATTTTACAGCCTCTGATTGTAAAAATGTGTAGCCTGTACACCGATTAAAAAAATGTTTAAACATTGCTTCAGCTAAAATGTGCGTCATACGTCTACAAACTGGCGCCTTTTTGTCTAAATTTGGCCAAACCTCAGCGGCAGTGCCTCATCTTGATTCTCCCACGCTAGGCTAACTATGGATTTCAAAGAGTTCAGGTAGCAAATGATTGTGAATAGCCCCCTGCAGAGGAACCACTTTGTGGTAAAAGATATTAATGACTGCTTGTTTGGAGCAATTAGAAATGCTGATAGGCTAATTTAGATACCTTCATTATAAGACTCAAATATGCTTTGTGGCTCCATACAGATTTTTCCGCATCTCTTTTTTTTAGCCAAAAATGGATCTTTTAATAGTAAAGGTTGCCGACCCCTGTCTTAGACTGACATATAGTTTTTCAGGTCGGCCTTTTGAAGTGGCTAAAGTATGTTTTGCTGCAAACTCCCATCCACAGCAATGCACTGCTGAGCTTCTGTGGTGTTAGATCTGTCTGCTTCTCCAAACTGGGGGTGTGTCAGCTGTCATCTACTGTAATGTAAGACAGTGGTTATAAGTACTTCATATAGCCTCACTTCAAAAAATCCAAACTATCTCTTTAAGTAAAGGATCTGAGCACTTGTTGTACCCCCTTGAGGATAAATGCATTGACAGGAGGCAGGCAGACATACAGAGACACAGTCCATTTAAACAATTTAGTGTCCAGTCTTTAGTGTAATTAAGAGTAATGGGAGCATTGTCAGCAGTACAATATACCATGCAGGCTCAGCCAAGTCATGTTTGTGGGGGTCCTGGAATCTGTGTGTACGAGTGTGTGTGCGTGTATGTGTGTGTGTGTGCCTGTCATCATTACACCAACCACAGGCTAACACAGGCCACAGGCATGTGCCCTAACTCCAGGAAGGCCAGGGTGTGTGTGTCACACACTCAGCTACAGTACATTTAGTGGATTCCAGAGTAACAACGGCAACAACAACAACTGCATCCACGACAACAGACCCACACAACTGTGTCCCCACATGCCACCTCACGGCAGTTACACATATACAAACACATTTACACAGGTCTACACATGTATACACATTCACACACCCTCACAGGGAGAATCTCGGGGTGTGAGAGGCAATAGTATTCTAACCAACAACATTTGGTGTTGTCATACCACAAGAATGAATCAGCAGTTCCACGACATGCGTTCTCATGCTACTGTACGCTTCCAAAAACTGCAAACATGTACCTACAGCAAATGTTTATCTTAACAGCAAGCATGCTACAATTAAAGCCTGGATGAACACGTGCATTTCATTTCCAAACCTAACACAATGTTCTGATTCAGCTGGAACAATAT